ATGCCTTCCTGTCTCCAGTTGATCTTTAAAATTCTAGGCTTGGGGCGCCTGGGTGGCTCAGTAGGTTAAGCGTCTGATTTCAGTTCAGGTCATAATCTCCTGGTTCATGGGTTCAAGCCCCGCGTCGGGCTCTGTGCTGGCAGCTAGCTTTATATAAGCTTTAATAAAAGCATTAAACTATAGTTTTAATAAAAGAATTAAAAATTTTTTAAAGCAGGAAATAAAGAAAAATTTTTAAAAAGAAATCAAAAAATAAAACTCTAAGCTTTATGCCATACAGGTTGCAAGAACTCACAACATTGAGGTGCTCTCATTTTCCAAGCCACTGGCTTTGGGGAAATATTCTCCTTGTGCATTCCCCTGTGTGCTCCTCTTTCTCTGCCTTTCTCCACAAGCACAACTCCCAGCCCTCCATAGCAGTACAATCTATTTCTCTCCAAGCCATATCTCTGTACTGCCTACAGTACAGTCTTTGAAGTGCCTCTTCTTTCTCCTTAGTTAAGGTGTTCCTCTGTCCGTCTTCAGGTTGCTTTTTGGGATATTAGGATGATTTGATAGTTATCTAGTTGTGTTTGTGGGATGTGATGAGCCTAGAGTCCTTCCACATCGCTTCCATCATCCTCTTTTCTGAAGAATCCTTCCTTTTAAAAACCTGTTAAATCTCACAAGAATTTTGCAAAGTTGGAGAATACAAACCCAACGCTTATAAATGAACTGTGTTTTCATACAACAAACAACAATATTCCAAATAAAGACAATTGCATTCACAATAGTATCACAAAGAATAAAATGCACAGGATTTCATGCCAGATAGAGGTCATAACTACTGTGATGAACACTTGAAAATATTGGGCCTGAACTGGAAAAAAAAAAAGAGAGAGAGAGAGAGAGAGAGAGGAACCAATCCATCTTGCATAAGAATGTTTAACACTCCTGGGCTGTTGGGCACAGTGTGGCTCAGTTGCTTAAGCGTTCAGATGTGGCTCAGATGCCCTGTATCAGGTTCTATGCTGACATCTTGAAGCCTGGAGCCTGCTTCAGATTCTGTGTCTCCCTCTCTCTCTCTGACCCTCCCCTGCTCATGCTGTCTTTCTCTTTCAGAAATAAATAATAAAAAACATGTAAAAACTAAAAAAAAAAAAAAAAAAAGACAAACTCCCAAGCAGGCACCACACAGTAGCATGGGAGCCCATTATGGGGCTCAAACTCATAAACCACAAGGTCATGCCCTGAACCAAAGTTGGCACTCAGCTAAATGAGACACCCAGGTGCCCTGATTTTGACGTATTTTAGATTCCACGTGATTTCATATAGTATCCCCACACCCCCCCCGTGTGATTCTTATTTAATTCAACAAAATCTCTTCCAGTTTGTATGAATCACACACAGACTCTTCAATGCTGGACCCCTTTGGCAGAAAGATTAGACTTAAGAAGCAATCAAAATTAAACAGATGAAGGAAAAATGTTTACTTTTCACCTGTCTAAAAATAATATACATAGGAAAGCTGCCCACGATGAGAGCACTCACCAAACGGACTACATTATGATACAAGCTACGTATGGTCAACAGGAAGGAACCCAGGAACGACCATGTGAACAGTTTTCTATGTCCTACTGTTTTAGAGTAGCCCAGAAAATATTGGCTTATCAAATACTTACTTTTCATCTTCCTGTGAATTGCATGCTTTCTCTTGGAGTCCCCAGACTTCTGTTCTTCCCTCTTCCCCTTCTTCCTTCCTTCTCTCTTCTTCAAAGACATGTATACCTTACTCTTCCTTTCTTTGCAATTTCCATGTTTGGGGAGTCTCCATACATATACCATTAAATTTGAATGTCTCCTGTTTGTCACATGCCAGTTTACTTCTTTGTCAACAATGAGAACTTCCTCTGAGGTTTCAGTTCATGCTTTCACATATTCTTCCAAACCATACTTGGCTCCTCTTTTATACAATCAACGTTATGGGAGAAAAAGAAACCGAAAAGCAGGGCACAACACCTATATTCTGGGGGAAATACTCGACACCCATTTTCAAGTCCTAAAGTATGAGAAGGGTAATTCACATACACGTTCCTGAGGTATCCAGCACAGCACCTCTTGAGTAAAACTGTGTGCGTGCAGAGTAAAAGCTCCATAAACACTGCCTTAATGATGTATCTATGTTATTTTCCAAATACAGACTTTCTCAGACTATACCTGTTCCAAATACTGTCATGGGTACATACATCTAACACACTGACCTTTGCTCTCGAGCTTATGGCTTGACTAATTGCCACTTCTTTCAACAGGCCACTGATGCTGGGGAAACAAGGAACCCAATGTTCCTAGAAATTCAAGCTTGACCATGGTAGAAAAGTGGCCTTTTCTTGTGCCAGCAAGTCCTGAGATCATATGGAGAATGATTCAGCACTGTACCACTGCTTCCCCTGCATGTCAATGTTCAGGAGTTCCCTGACCCCTTTAAAAACTCCCTGCTTCCTAAGTGGCTTTGTAGAGTTTCTATAGCCCTGCTTCAGAGAATGAAAACAGGTTAAATAATAAGTGTTTCTAATAAATCTCATCGGGTCCCTGTCTCTGAACCGATCCCACTGTGTCCAGGCCCTTTGAGCATCATCTCCAATATCTACTGTAATGTGTGACATTTGACAGCAATGCCCACAATGATTACATCATCCAGTATGCCCTCCTCCATAACTGCCACTGATCAAGGCCTGGGCATCACAGGAATCATTGTCATTTTACAGCATCTGGTTCTCAGTAACACACAGGAATTCAATTCAATCATTAAGATCAAATGGCACTTCCCTCATCCTCAGAAACCCACCACTTTTGCCAATCTCTTATCTCTATGACTTTTATTCATCAGATGATGCACCCAAGAGCGGCCTCTGACTTTGGTGTTATGAAAGGAAGCAACTTCCGGTTCCCACCCTACACTGGAAAGAGATCTTCACATTTTCTTACTTTCCATCCCGTTCCTAGAGTATTTAATGATATGAAATAGGTAAAAATTGGTGGTCAGATAACACTCCACTCCACATATCCAGGTAAACACATTAAAATCAATTGTTTTATTAATTAAATGTATTAAGTTCACACATAGGCAAAGTCATGCATTTCAAGTCCACTCTATTACCACTGTTCAAAACTTAGAAAACCTTCTAGATCTCTAGATCTAGAAATCTAAAAAGCCTTCACAAATATTTGATAAGATGACGTGGGAATACAGACGCCCATAATTTTCAGGCCTGAGGTCATTCTTGTAAAATATGTATAATCGTATGACATTTTGGGGGAAGAGGTTGTTATGCTCTTTCTAATCTCTCTGAGCATTCCATCATTTCAACCACATTAACTGACATTCTCTAACTATGGCCATGGTGAAGATATACCAGTGTTTCACTACCCTGCCACCTCTTTTTTCCTTATAGACCATTTAGGATATTATTTTATTTACAATAGTCAACAAGAGTTTTACTTTTATTATTATTCTTTATTTATTTCAGAGAGAGAGACAGTATGTGAGCAGGGCAGGGGATGAGAGAGCAGGAGAGGGAGACATAGAATCTGAAAAAGGCTCCAGAATCTGAGCTGTCAGCAATGAGCCCGACACGGGGCTCAAACACATGAACCATGAGATCATGACCTGAGCTGATTGGACACTCAAATGACTGAACCACCCAGTCATCCCAAGATTTTCATTTTTAATACAAGGGAAAGAATGGTGTTCTGAACACCTATTACATTAGAACTTACATCAATGATTTCACCAAAAAAAGCATCTCCATGAAGATTTTCTTCATAAATGGTATATTATGTTGTCCATCTTCCATGAAAAATGACACAAGTCACACCTAATAAAGAAGGGCACGTCATATCTTTCATGCATCAACAATCAGCCACATAATTTTCAAAAACCACTGGGAACTAATGAATTTTGGAAGTAATTCGAGAGTAGAAATATATTAATGTTTACTAGTCACAGATGTCACTTAGCGTTGAGGTGAGAAAAAACAGCACAGACTGAAATTAACGTGCCTATGCAAAAATTGATCCATTTAATCTCTTGAGGCATAATGGCATATACACTGTTTAACATTGTATTATTCCTTATCATTAGTATTTTGATGTGTGTCTGAGTAGAGACTGATGTACTACTTTGCAATGTGAATTCTGAGACATTTATTGGCATTTGATATTCCGTTAAATATCCTTGTAAAGATTTATATCTTTCAAGATACCTTCTTTTATGAAGAAGTGTCTGGTGCTTGCTAACGTGTACATTTAATATGAAGGCCTTTCCTCAGTCATTATGTCTGTAGAATTTACATCTCGTGTGTACTTTAGGATATTGATTAAGGATCCAATTCCAGTCATAAGCCCTGCAACTTTCTCCACATGTTCTATCCACTAAGAGAGCTATGATAATGAGGAAGTTGTGAATTCCAGCAAATGGCCGGACACGTTCTTTACTTTTGTCATGTTTCTCCTCAGTAAAATGTCTGTGATGCAGAGTAGGGTTAGGCAGTCATGGAAGTTTACCACATTCCTCATAGATTAAGTGTTTTCTCCAGTATGAGTTCTGTGATGCAGACTGAAGCTTCACCTCTGATGAACAGGCTTCCCAAATTCTTTATATTTGCAAAGTCCTCCCCAGTGTTCCCTCTTCGATCAGGAGTCAGGGTGTAGCATTGCTTCAAAGCCTTGACACATTCTTTAGTATTCCGTGGTTATTCTGCAGGATACATTTTCCAATGGGAAGTAAGGGGTGAGCTGTCCACAAAACGTTTTGCACTATCCTTAAGTTTGGAAGATTTGCTCTAGTATGAATTCTGCAGTAAAAGTAAAGATTAAAGAATGATTAAAGACCATAGAACATTCTTTACATTGGTTTCCATCAAGTATGAATTCCGTGATGTCGACTAAGGCTTGATTCTTGGGTGAAGGCCTTGTCACATTGTTTACATTGGTGAGGCTTCTCCCCAGTATGGATTCTGTGGTGTTGAATAAGGTATGAGCGGTACGTAAAGGCCTTGCCACGATTCCTTACATTGGTAAGGTTTCTCTCCAAGATGAATTTTCTGATGTGCAGATAGATTTGAGTGCTGGGTAAAGGTCTTTCCACATTCTCTACATTGGTAAGGTTTCTCTCCAGTATGGATTATGTTATGTTGATTAAGGGCTGAGGGCCAGTTAAAGGCCTTCCCATATTCTTTACTCTTGTAAGGTTTCTCTCCAGTATGGATTCTGTGATGTTGATTCAGAGCTGAGCAGTTCTTAAAGGGCTTGCTACATTCTTTACTTTGGTGAGGTTTTGCTCCAGTATGGATTTTGTGATGTTTGGTAATATCTGCGTTGTGGGTAAAGGCCTTGCCACATTCATTACAGATAACTTTCCTCTGGTATGGATTCTGTTATGTTGAATCTGGGATGAGCGATGTGTAAAGGCCTTGCCACATTCTTTACATTGGTAAGGTTTCTCTCCAGTATGGATTCTGTTATGTTGATTAAGGTCTGAGGACCAGTTAAAGGCCTTGCCACATTCTTTACACTTGTAAGGTTTCTCTCCAGTATGGATTCTGTGATGTCGATTAAGAGCTGAGGGCAATTTAAAGGCCTTGCCACATTCTTTTCATTGGTAAGGTTTCTCTCCACTATGGATTCTGTGATGTTGTTTAAGAGCTTTGGGCTATTTAAAGGCCTTGCCACATTCTTTACATTGGTAAGGTTCCTCGCTAGTACTGATTAGTTTATGTCCATTTACTGATGAGCCATAATTAAAGGTTTTACTACATTCTTCACATTTGTAAGGTTTGTCTCCAGTATGCACTCGCTGATGTTGAAGTTGTGTTGAGTGCCAGTTGAGGGCTCTGTCACATTCCTTACCAATGTATTCTTTCTGTCCACTCTGCATTTTCTTATTTATATTTACCCTTGATGACTCACTAAGCATGTTCCCAAGTTCACTGCATGTAGATGGTTTTTTTCCCACATGAATCTTCTGGTGATCATGATCATTAGAGGACTGGTTAGGAATTTTCCCACAATCATTATGTTTTGAAGGATTTTCTTCCAAATGTATCCTCTTATGTATAAGAAGGTTGGAGCTTTCATGAAACACTTCTCTACATTTATTCAATTCATAATGGTTCTGGGACAAACATGTCCTTAGATGTTTTGTAACATTTGAACCCTGGTTAAATATTGTCTCAGAACCACTGCAATGAGCAATTCTGTTTTCATTCAAAATGCTGTGATTATGGTTTAAGGTCGATTGCTCAGAGAAGGACCCTTCAAATGGATGCCACTTACCACTTTCTCCTCCAGTTTTAAATCTCTGATTTTCAGAAATATTTGACTGAGAGGTCAATGAAATCCTATTGTCAAAATGGTACAAATGTGTGTTTTCAGGATGGACAAGGTCACTTCCCAGATTTTCCAAATTTTTGTTCTGCAAATATGTGTGTTTCACCACTTGATTTGAGCCTTTGCCTATAGAAACACACTGCTTTGCCGAAGTAATGGACTTTGAAATGGGCATTCCCCAAAATGCTTTAGATCCTTCACCAATTGGGGCAGTGAGACTCTTATAATGGGCAGTTGTCTCCATTTGCATAGGTGCTTCATGAGATCTTTGGTGCCCTTCTCTCTCCCCAGCACTGTTCCCATCTATCACTAAGAGTCCATTCTCAATGACGCTGTCTTTACATCTACCCACTGACACTCTTTGGAAAGCAGTTTCTATGCACATCTTTGGAAGGAGGCTCTGAGGGCCATTTGAAGACACAGCTGAAAGGTAATGAATAAAAGAAACATCATTCCACATACTACTGTCAGGTGAATACAATTAAAATTTCTGGCACACAAAACTGAAATCAGAGAACTTTAACTTTAGGAAAAATGAATCATTAGTTTTTCTACATCACTCAGATGATATCTGAGTATTTAATTCCAACTATTTTTATATAACGTTATTGTTGGCATATTTTACAACTTTGGTGACATTTTTTTATTTAGAAATAAGAGGTTGTCGAGTGCCTGGGTGGCTCAGAGGGTTGAGCATCTGACTCTTGGTTTCAATTCAGGTCATCATCTTGTCTTTAAGGAGTTCCACCCCACATCCTGTTTGGCACTGACAGTGTGGAACCTGCTTGGAATTCTCTCCTCTTTCTTTGCTCCTCCTCCACTCTCTAACTCTCCATATCTCGAAATACTGGGGTGGGGGAAACCTTAAAAGAAATGAAAATGTCTTACTTGCTTGATCCTAAATTATGGGTTATGCCCTTAAATTCTGTGTTATACTGTCTTTTAAGTGCTTAATACATCAGGGTTTTCATTAGAGCTTTCCATTGTGTATATTAATGAATATAGTTTACAATTTTACTGTCCATGAAGACATGCCACTAGTTCAAAGTGTTCAGTTTTTTCCTGGATGCACACTCAGAGTTCAGTATTATAGCTACAGGGGACCTAGGTGGTTCAGTATGTTCAGTATCCAGGTTCAGTTCAGGTCATGATTTCAGGGTCAGTGAGTTGGAGCCCCATGTCAGACTTTGTGCTAACAGTTCGGAGCCCGGAGCCTGCTTCAGTTTCTGTGTCTCCATCTCTCTCTGCCCCTCCCACGTTCAGACTCTGTCTCTCCTTCTCAAAAATGAATAAACATTAAGTATTTTTAAAAAGGAAACAATTTATAATAATAGATACACAAGGACTCCTGGGTGCTGTTTTAGTTGGTTGAGTCTGACTGTTGATTTCACCTCAGGTCATGATCTCACATTTTAGGTCTTCGAGCCCTGCATTGGGCTGTGTGGTGACAGAGCAGAACATTGTTGGGATTCTGTCTCCCTCCCTCTCTCTCTCTTCCTCCTCCCCTGGTGCTCTCTCTCCCAAAAGAAAAAATAAATGTATAGTAACATTCCTTTACATAATTCACCATTTTTATGTAGAATTATTGGGTTATAGTTTGTCTTATTCTGATTTTGCAATTTGATAATAATGTGGTTCCTTTTGTATGGATTTTTCCACTACATTATTTTTCAACTTCAGCTTTAGGTGTGGTTTTGTTTTTACCTGTGTATTTTCGTATAGGGTGATAATTTTCAGCTCATTACATTTTCGGACAATGTGAGTGTAACTCAAATATGAATCACCTTTATGCCCTCTTCCAATACGATTATCTTAGTATTTGTCTCTAGAAATTATACCCTTGCATACTTTGTGAATCATCCTGTGTTATTTCTTTCCTGGGTTAGTGGTCAGTGAATGTTGTTTCATCTCCATGTGTGTTGTCATGAGAATAGAATTAATTTTGTATATGCTTATTGGTGAATATATTGTGTACATATTTTCATTGTGGTTTCCTTAGAGATTACTTAAAATACCTTAAAGGTATAACAAACCATTATATCCACTGTTGGCACAGAGCTGGACACAGGGCGTGAACTCACAAACTGTGAGACCATGACCTAAGCCTAAATCAAGAGCCAGACAGTTAAACAACTGAGCCACCCTGATGCCCCTATGTAGCCATAATATTAAACTGTGACTGTATACACATAAAAGAAATGGAACATTTCGAATTATTGGCATGACAGTAAAGTTGTGAAGTATGCTAATTAAAACCAACCATGGAGGGGCATCTGCGTGGCTCCATTGGTTAAGTGTCCAACTTCAGCTCAGGTCATGATCTCACCGGTTCATGAGTTTGAGCCCGGCATCAGGCTCTGTGCTGACAGCTTAGAGCCGGGAGCCTGCTTCGGATTCTGTGTGTGTGTCTCTCTCTATGCCCTTCCCCTACTCACACTCTGTCTCTCAAAAATAAATGAACATTAAGAAAAAAAAAACACCAACCATGGAAACCTCTAATGAAAACTCTTATGATTGAGGCAGTTAAAAGACATTAAAAGTGTATTATGTTAATAGGTCCTTCCAATTACATATATTTTAAGACTGTAATCCATTCTTTAGAATCGAGAAAAAAAAACATTTCCTTTAAGTTTTTTTAAAGTGTATTTTTTTATTAAATTTTTTTAATGTTTTATTTATTTCTAGGAGACAGAGACAGCATGAGCAGGGGAGGGTCAGAGAGAGAGGGAGTGACAGACTCTGAAACAGGCTCCAGGCTCTGAGCTGACAGTCAGCACAGAGCCCGACACGGGGCTCGAACCCACGAACCGCAAGATCATCACCTAAGCGAAAGTCAGACGCTTAACCGACTAAGCCACCCAGGCGCCCCTAAGTATACTGTGAGAGAGACAAGGTAACAGAGAGGGAGACAGAAAGAGAAAGAGAAAATAAAAGAGGCAGAGAGAGAGGGAGAAAATCTCAAGCAGGCTCCATGATGTCAGTGCAGAGCAGGATCCAGGTTACAACTCACAGACCATGAGGATCATGCCTGAACTGAATTCAAGAGTCTGATGTTCAACGCTCTAAGCCACTCATGTTCCCCGAAATCTTTTATTTCTGAATAAACAAGCACTGGCAGTATTGTAAATAGCAAGCACATTATTAAAAAAATCTCTGGGATTGAATTCAGATACATTCTGAGAAAAGTAGAAAAACTAATGATTCGTTTTTTCTGAAGTAAAATTCATTTACAATTGAAACTTTTTTCTACATACAGAAATTTTACTAACCATCACCCTCATTTGTTATAAAGCAAATGCCCGTGTCATTTCAGAACTACTGATCAAGGGACACCTGGGTGGCTCAGTCAGTTGAGCATCAGACAGACTCAGGTCATCATCTCACAATTTGTGGGTTTGAGCCCCATGTCAGACTCTGTGTAGATAGCTCAGAGTCTGGAGCATGCCTCTGATTCTGTGTCGCCTCTGCCTCTGCCCTCTCCTGCTCACTCGCTCTCTCTCTCTCACAAAAATAGGCATTAAATTTAAAAAAATTTTTAAAAATTTTAATGTAGGGGCGCCTGGGTGGCTCAGTCGGTTAAGCGTCTGACTTCAGCTTGGGTCATGGTCTCACGTTTCGTGGGTTCAAGCCCCGCATCGGGCTCTGTGCTGACAACTAGCTCAGAGCCTGGAGCCTGTTTCAGATTCTGTGTCTCCCCCTGTCTTTGACCCTCCCCGGCTCATGCTGTCTCTATCTCTCTCTCAAAAATAAATAAAATATTAAAAAAAAATTTTAATGTGATAAATCATAATGTCATCTCATACACAACTACTCAGAAAGTGAAAACATATATGACAAAGTCACATGAACTTCATAGTATACATGACAAAATTCTAAAATGATTCAAGTATTAAGAAATAATGTAACAACTGAGACTTTATTATGGACTGCGAGTTTTAATTCTAAATGTTCTATCGCCCCTATGGTATTAATCGATGTAGGAATGCTGGCAACATCATAGGTGCTTTAAATTCCTTCGCCAGTGAGGAATGGGACACATGCAGTGTAAATATCTTATTTTAGTTAATAATACACAAAATGAACTTCTCTTAGTTCTTAAAGTTTATTTGTATTTATGTTGAGAGAGAGATAAGACTAAGTAGGGGAGGAGCAGAGAGGGAGAAAGGGAGACAATTCCCAGGTTGCTCAGCGCTGTCATCACAGAGGGCTGTGTGGGACTCAAATTCACTAACTGTGAGATCGTGACTTCAGCTGAAGTCAGAAGCTTCAAAAATTGATCCAGCCATGCGCCCTAAAACCTGAACTTCTGAAGTAAATAAAGGTTGAGATTTTCTCATTTTAGGGAGGTGCTTTATTATCTGATGAAATTAGTGGGTCTCAATTTTGTATGATTAAGATGAAAGCCTCCACAATATTGGAAAGCATAAACCAGATAACATGTGATATCAGTCCCCAGTGTTCCTGGGATTTCTGCACCAATCCCCAATATACCTACCACTACCCTGACACACTTCTCACACAAGGCAAACACTCAGAAATGAATTAACATAGACTTCCTCAGAAATGCAGAGATTTCCCCAAACCCTCAAAGCAATGGAGAACCATTGAGATTATGGAGGCCCTCACTGTAGATGTGATGGATCTTTAATGGAACTGAAGGACAATCCATAGAGAATATGAGTGTGATGTGTTGGAAAGCAGATGTCCGCTGTGAGAGGGAGAGACATGAAACTAGGTTTCTCAAACTAAGTTCTATTCAAGAAGGGCTGCTCAAACCACATGTTAAAGTCTGTCTTCCTCCTTCACATTGCGACCTCCCCTCTGTCATCTGCTTCCTTCTTTCCCACCTACCTGGGTAGGAGCCTACTGTCTCCTTTCTCTTCACATCCGATTGCTCCCTCTTTTGTTCCAAAAAGATGACCAGGTCCGGCTTTGACACAACAAAACCTGTTTGTGAGAACAAAGGGATAGAGTATTGCTGCAGATTCTACCTTTTAACCCACTATTGGCCTCTGTAGAGAAGAGAGGACATTCTAGAATTCTGGAAAATCATTCCAAATGCTGTTGCCCAACAGCCTCTTTGGAACACACAAGAGGGATTTCCAAAGGTTCACAGCTCGGTCTCCACTTCCAAGTATTACCACTACCATAATCAGTACAAATTGGTATTGAAGAAGGAAGAACCATTTTATGCCACTCAATTGAATTGCCATTTAAGAAAGGCCGGTTAGAACTGCCATCAATCTAGAAAATGATGATGTTACTCTCAGGAAGAGAAAACTCACCTGAAAGGAAAAATCGTGAAGATTTTTCTCTGCATCTACAAACCCCTACATCTTTCCCTTACTGTAGGGATTTGAATCCCAGTCATGCAAAGAGGAAGCTTCCTAGAGACAGTCATCAAACAAGGAATAAAACCCTCAGTGTGGTTTGGGAAAACTGGAGGGAGTTATCCTCACCCAAGAAGAGGAGGTGTCCATAGTTCTCTAACATCACGTCCCTGTACAGTTCCCGCTGACTGTGGTTCAGGCGTCCCCACTCCTCCTGAGAGAATTCTATGGCCACATCCCTGAAGGTCAGCAGTCCCTGCAACAAACACCACAGTTACCAAGTGGACATATGAGGAGGTCATAATGGTACCTATCGTACTTATGAGAGAAGTTAATGTCACCTGCTGAACCCCATGACAGAACCTTCACTGCTTACCTGCCTGCGCTCACTGACCTTAGTCCCTCATGTTACTTACTATTCTTATGTACACCTCTCTCCTACTTCAGGCAAAACAGCCTATGGGCATAGTGTCCTGTGGTGGAAACAGAAAATATCCAACAAAAGGTAATGACTGCCCTGAGGAAGACCTTGAATTGGCTCAAACTGAGCTTAACCCCTGACTCCCATCTATGCAGATGAACTTTAGTGTAAACATGGAATGAGGACAGGGGCGCCTGGGTGGCTTAGTCGGTTAAGCGTCCGACTTTCGCTTAGGTCATGATCTCGCTGTTCGTGGGTTCGAGCCCCGCGTCGGGCTGTGTGCTGAATGCCAGCTCAGAGCCTGGAGCCTGTTTCAGTCTGTGACTCCCTCTCTCTCTGACCCTCCCTGCTCATGCTGTCACTCTCTCTCCTAGAAATAAATAAAACATTAAAAAAAAAAACCATGGAATGAGGACAGTTACCTTTATCTCCATTATGTATTTCTCAAAATGTTTCTTTCCTCAAAGAGAGAGCACAAGTATGGGTGGAGCAGAGATAAGAATTCCAACCAGGTTCAATCATCACCAAGGACCTTGACTTGGGGCTTAATCTCAAGACTGTGAGATCATGACTTGAGCCAAAATCAAGAGGCGGAAGCTCAAGGGACTGAGCCACCCTTTTACCTCATTATAATACTAATATCTCCACCCATGGAGGAGCACAAATGTCATTTACTGTGTAACGTACAGAGAATGTATAGAACTGTTTTCTTAAGGTTCATGTGCAACTTGTCCTCAGCCTCCCCTTTCTAAATATCCACCCTATCCCTAAATAAAGGGAAACCATTCCGGAGCACCTGGGTGGCTCAGGCAGTTAAGCCCCCGACTCTTGTTTTCAGCTCAGGTGATGATCTTATAGTTCGTGAGTTTCAGCCCCGCATTGGGCTCAGTGCAGAGCCTGCCTGAGGTTCTCTTTCTCCCTCTTTCTCTGCTCTCTCTGTATCTAAATAAATAATCTTTTTTAAAAAAGGCAAACAATTGCCCCTTCCTCCTGAGTCTCTTCCTTTGAAGGTTTTCCTTGTGATCTCCTTATTTCCTATATATAAATTATCCTTTGTTTGACATCCACACCTGATACAGTTTTTTGTGATTCACCAAGGACTAAACTCTTGTTAGCTCCGTTATATTAGGAGAACTGGTTCTGGGTTAGTGAAGTTTCTTGCTTTCTGCAGTAAGAAAATTTCTAACACAATAGTATGCTGTAATATATTCTTTAATTTGAGGTATGAACTGTTATAAATATTGTATTTATTCAAGAGAATTTGTAAAATGAAGGCATCAACACAGGTACACCCATTAAAACATGATTTTTAAACTTTATATCTTATTTTTGAGAGACAGAGAGAGAGCATGCGTGGGGGAGGAGCAGAGATAGAGGGAGACACAGTATCCAAAGCAATATCCAGGTTCTGAGCTGTTAGCCCAGAGCCCAACATGGGGCTTGAACCTACAAACTGTGAGATCCTGACCTGAGCAGGAGTCGGACGCTCACCTGACTGAGCCACCCAGTCACCCCACGAATACACATTTTTGAATGCTGTATTACATCATTTAGAACATGTGGTGTCTATTTCTTAAGGGAAAGTTTTGAGGGTTACAAATGTACTTAGCATATTCTAATATGAGTTAGAATTCACAACAGTGCATTGGAGATCCAATTAAATGCAGATACCGTTCAGGACATCTTGGATGGGGGAGGTGTCTGCATTTCTAACAAGGCATTACTGTATGGGCCAAGGGATACATATTTCAATATGAAGAAGTAGAACTCAAAGGGAGGAACTCTTGGAGGACGTGGAACTGAATGTGTTTTACAGCAATTACAGGTTCTACTAGGGGCGCCTGGGTGGCTCAGTCGGTTAAGCGCCCGACTTCGGCTCAAGTTATGATCTCACGGTTCGTGGGTTCAAGCCCCGCGTCAGGCTCTGTGCTGACAGCTAGCTCTGAGCCTGGAGCCTGCTTCACATTCTGTATCTCCCTCTCTCTCTGACCCTCCCCTACTCATGCTGTCTCTATCTCTCAGAAATAAATAAAACATTAAAAGAAAGTTTTTTATAGGTTCTACTAGAATATTAAGAAAGGTGGCAACAAGCCTTTCCAACCATTTCCTGGTTAGTTGATAACATTAAAAGTTTCCCATAAATTCATGGAAAATTAATAATAAAAATCTGAGAGAAGAAACACATTCTATTTTAGTGAATATTTTGCCAAACATTCGGTACATGGTACAGATCAAATTTTAATTTGGGTTAACTGACATAGAGTTGATAAAAAATGACACACAGGTCAATATACAGTAGGGACCTTAAGTCAATGTTCATAGCAGGTTCAGTCCTGAGAATAATGATGGAAAGAAGACGGCATGCACACAAAAACTGATCTTCCTGTATACATTCCATGCACACACGCATACGTTTTGAAGGTAGTTATATACCATTAAAAGTGATAGAATAGAAAATTATCAGGGTGAGTAAGAAACAGTTTTAATGAGCAGTGCCTGGGTGGCTTAGCCAGTTAGGTGTCCAACTTGTGATTTCAGGCCAAGTCATGTTCTCAAGGTTTCTGAGTTCAAGCCCCACCTCAGGCTCTAGGCTGACAGTGTGGAGCCTCTTTTGGATTCTCTCTCTTCATCTCTTTCTCTGCCCTTCCCTCTCTCTCAAAAATAATTTAAAAAACCAACCAACAAAAAACATTTCGATGTCATGAAACTCCTCAATCTAGCTGTAGAGGAAGATGCTTAGGTCTTTTCCTTACACTATCAACACAAACACATAAATGATATGAATATAACAGTTTTTATTTCTGAGTCTACTATGAGGGATACAAATCGAAATACGTTCACTTCACCACAGAAGCCTGACCTAGAGCCTGCATAGTTTTTGTAACCGTCAAATAAAGACTGCTTCCTGCATTCTGCTGCTGCTGCTTCTTCTTCTTTTCAATGTTTATTTATATTGTGAGAGAGAGCATGGGCAAGTATGTTGTAAAAGGGGGAGAGGCAGAGAGATGGAGAAAAATAATCCCAAGTAGGCTCCAGGCTGTGACTGAGGCACTCAGGGGGATACTGCATTTGAAAAGGGTCTCATGACCGCTGATATGTCTCACCAGTTGTTAATGTTGAACTGAAAGACAAGCAGCAGAGAAATCGTGCGGAAGTCATTATACAAGTAGAAGTCTACAGAAACATTTGTGATTGAACACTTTGTGCATCTACCTTCTCCTGTGAACTTATAAGCTTCATGCAGCCGAAATACAGTTCTTTCTGCCCATGGGGCCTGGCCCTGTGCTACTTCAATAAATTACCCGTCTTGCATCAAACAGTAACTTAAGACTTGTTTCTTGACTCTAGAACTCAATGATCCCATAACATCATATTTCTTGGAAATCTTTTTATTTTATCATTTTTTTAATATTTGAACATATTTATTCTTTTTTTTTAAAATGTTTTATTTATTTCTAGGAGAGAGAGACAGCGTGAACAGGGTAGGGTCAGAGAGAGAGGGAGTCACAGACTGAAACAGGCTCCAGGCTCTGAGCTGGCAGTCAGCACAGAGCCCGACGCGGGGCCCAAACCCACGAACCGCGAGATCATGACCTAAGCGAAAGTCGGACGCTTAACCGACTAAGCCACCCAGGCGCCCCTGAACATATTTATTCTTTATTGAGAGAGAGGGCACAAGTGCGGGAAGGTGGAGAGAGAGAGAGAGAGAGAATCCCACGAGGGGCAGAGACAGAGAGAAAGTGAGTGAGTTGTGGGACTCGACATCATGAACCCTGAGATTGTGACCTGAGTTGAGTCAGATACTTAAACAACTGAGCCACGCAGGCACCTTGAAGGCCTTATTCAAAAATTTAGTGTTGGGGCGCCTGGGTGGCTCAGTTGGTTGGGCCTCCGACTCGGCTCAGGTCATGATCTAATGGTGTGTGGGTTCGAGCCCCGCGTCGGGTTCTGTGCTGACAGCTAGCTCAGAGCCTGCAGGCTGTTTCCCATTCTGTGTCTCCTTCTCTCTCTCTGCCCTTTCTCTGCTCACGCTCTCTCTCTCAGAAATAAATAAACATTTCAAAAAATTTGGTGTTTATTTATTTTAAGAAAGGATAAGGGTGCAGGGGTGAGAGAGCGAGAGACAGAGAGAGAGAGAGACTCCCAAAAGGGCTTCTGTGGTCAGCATGCTACCTGACATGGGGGTCGATCTCATGAACCTCGAGATCATGATCTGCACCGAAATCAAGATTGGAGACTTAACTGACGGATTCACCCAGGCGCCCCTCATTGAAAGCTCTTGTTTCAATCAACATTTGTGCCCTATGGTACTTTGGGATTTTCACATGCTCAAACACGTGAATTATGTGATTCTTCCCTTTCTGAAAACAGAAAGAAGTGCATAGAACAGCATGTCTGCGTCATGACTATGCAGCGAACTACACAAGATGAGGGCCTTCGCTGCCCAATGGAAACTGATATGATGTGGGGCAGGAATAAATAAATGCTCAAGAATGTATTCCTGAGGACTTTTTGGTGAACAACACTCATCTTATTAAAGCACAGGGACGGGATCTGTGGAAAGAATGAGCTGCAGTGTGATGGTGAGGAGCCAGTGATTATACACTTTAAGTTGAGGAGTAGAAATATAAGTTTCCAAAGGGATTTTCATAGGTTAAAAGACACTCACTGGACCCTGGAAGTCTGGCTATTGTCCAGCTAAGCTTGCTTTTTGCCTCTAGAAAAGCATTAACATTAAAGCGGTTGTAAATATCTTGATGAATGTCTTCCTCTGCCAGTCTCAAGTATTTCTCAGTGGGTTGCAAGTTGTACAAAAATTTAATGATATCTACATT